GGAGTACCTTACGGAGTATAATTGATACAGAGGCCGTTCAGCTTGTCGATCATATCCTGTCTAGCGCGAACCTTGTCCCGAGAGAAAGTCTTGGACGCACTTCTTCTCCTATCCATATATATCTAGCAATGTAGCTAGCTGCATCGGTCAGTAGCTTGCGGGGTACCATAAAGTACACAACATAGAGAGTACAATATACTAGGTACGGTGCAAGCTTTTCCACATAGATTATAGCTTAGTCTTTCTATCTGACTCCACTGATGCGGCACCCCTAGAAATCTTAGCGGAACCGCCAAGAGTTCGTCGTCGTCTCCGGTTGATCATTGAATTGCACATCGCTTCGTAATTGAGCGTCGACTTTACACTTTCGGGGTGTTTTTCTATCTGCCCAACCTCCAGCTCGGTTAAGGCTGGCCAGGGCTATCTACCCCTGTAAGGCTGATGCAGCTTCCCATCTTGGCAACCTGATAGAACTCAATTTTTTATACCTCAGTTTTGATGCCCAATGCCAAGACTCCGGTTTCACGGCAAGAACGGTCTCCTATAATCTACTCTGTGCTCCGTAACTCCTTCGCTGCTGCGGATGCCGATTCTCGGGTACCCGATATGGACTCCGTTAGTGCACGTTGGGTACATGCAGTGTAGTTAGTTTCATTAGTAGATTGGCCTGACATGGTGCAATTCCCCACTTCTAAACAATATAGGGGGTCCAAACCCTCAATGTGGTTAGGTTATAGCTTCATTTTCAAGTCTCCGAGTTATTGTGGTGTTGAACGCCTCGATTTAGCAAATTATCTGTCAACGTTGTGGCCCCAATGCAAGTTTTTCTTCTTTTTCTTCTAGCTGTGGAATAGAGAATTGGATCTTAACTTGCGAATTCTCTCAAGGTTTCTTGAACAATAATTTCTATACACTTTACTTTCAAATTTGGGAGATATGGTAGATCCCCCTGACAGGTATGACAATCTTCATCTGAAACACAGTATACGGAGTAATCATATGGATCTAACGATACTAGCGGAGAAAATAAAGATGATTGTTACGAACGGATGAGGCTGTGTCTGATCTATTTGCCTGGCGCTTCAATAAACAAGCGCTTTGACCAGGGGATTTGCAGATCTGATGCAGCCCCTGGCTTTCTTGGCCCGCTAAAGGAACTTGACACACACAAGCTAACTAATATAAATGATAAAGGATTCCAGAGCGTCCCACGAAGGTTTTGAGGTGATTTACCGCAAAGGAACCCTAGCATGTCGTTATCGCATCAAACGACGTCCTCGGTGTCCTCCGCCAAACTGCTGATCATTTTGTCTTCTCCCGCCTAAGTGTCCTCTATTAACAGCAACGTTGAAAGTGCCTCTCAAAATGAATGTAATGGACCTTCTTGGCATCATGCCGGGTCCAGAACAAAAATTTAGATGGGAGACACCCTGTAAGTTTCTTTCATACCCCACAGGGCAGGGCCCTTCAGAACGCCCCTGATCGTCGGCGTATGGAGCCCGTGTGTAGATCTGGCGATTGAGTAAGTTGTTCCCATGTTGTAACTAGTTAGTTATGGATATCTTAATTTGATAGTACTGAGCTGTGGAAATGTTTGTTTCAGGATAACCACGCTATATGATATATTGCACTACCCCCCTGGTGAAACATGCTACCGATATTATAGAAGACCTTTTAGACAGTATCTAATGGCGTTATATAACCACCATGGTTTAAACCGAAGAAAGTGACCTGATTGTCTATGTTTAATAGCAAATATACACGTTGTTCTAGGATAGAGTTATCAACTCTGCTTCGGATGAAAGAGACCACAGAGACATACCCAGCCAGTTTTGGATAAAAATATACAAGATCTCGCAATAACCAGTGGATATATATCTCACCTAATTACGGATGCCACTAGTCAGTGGAAGTGTAGCTATAGATTAAATATTGAGATGCCCGAGCGAAAGTTCTTGACATGGCATGATTGTCAAACGGTTTATTATCTCTATCGAATAGATATGTCGCACCTCTAATTCTTCGACGGCTGGGGATAGAAAATCAAAGCGAGACTTCCATTCACCGAAGCCGTCCGCATTGTTGGTCGCATTGAATGCACAGATCAATGTATGCGCACAAGTCACGAAGTCTCGCTTCCCAAATGAATTGATCGTGCTGATAACACCGTGAACATGCGGTTGGGATCCGTAAACCTTTGTAATCCATTAAGAGATCAACACGATCGACCAAGCTTTCGCGAACGTGGAGTTGAACATGAAACACGCTGGAAGAAAGGCCGGGAGCACGTATATCGGGTGAACTCGTACCATGTCCCGACCAATGACGAGGTCCTGGTGCGAAATTTCAAGAAATGTATGCCAAATCACCAGCCGATTTGGACGTGTCTTGAGTAACGAGGCTCGGCTCGGCTCGGATGATCGAAGTCGCAACTCACGACGCGTGAGAGATCAAGGCCGGAGCGGACATGGCGTGTGGATCATGCAGCCATCTATCTCTTGTGTTGAAGTAGCGTGGGTAGGCAATGTCAGACGAAGAAGCATATTAGCCTAACAATGGGAGAAGCCATCGCAAATATCGTGATCTTAGCGCTTGTCCCCTCTGCCACCACCGCGGCCACCGCCTCGGCCACCTCTACCACCCCCGCCGCCTCTGCCGCCTCTTGTTTTGCCCTTTCCTCTCCCACCCATCATACGGCGCCCTGACGCCTGGACACGAGCGATGTCGTCTTTGTTTAGGTTCAAAGTGCCTCCTGAGAACCTGCCCACGGAGGATCCGGCAAGACCCCGCTCTCTTCGCCCGTTGTTGCTCGATTTATGTACCTTGTTAGGCTTCTCGAGGATGATGCCGTTCTCCTTGGCCTCTTGGCGGCGTCTATCTTCCTTTGATTCAGCCTTGGCTTTGATGCCTCTTCGGTGCGCAGTAGGCATTTTAGTTTGCGCATAGAGCGAAGTTTTGGCTCCGAGGGATTGCATGCGCATATCCAAAGCCTTCAAACGGTTCTTTCCAGTGGGCGCCAGATCATTGGCGGAGTCAAGAAGGTGTGACTCCTTAAGCAGTCTCTGCAATGCAAGATCATGCTTGAGGTTTGCAGAGTCGTGGGCGTCTTCTTCTTCTTCTTTTTTGGATGTAGGCTCTAGGTCGGCGCTCGGCTTATCTAAGTCGGACAACAGTTTTCCACTCTGTAGGTCTCAGTGTTAGCATGGCCTTTCAACGCATTGAGGCCTAGCACGTACCATAAACGCCTTCCAGGTCTTCTTATCCATTCTGTCTTCTGGTGCCGCGTAGGCATCCGTGTGTTCGACCACCTCAACTTGGTTGCTTTCGTCACTGATATCGGACATCCCATCCCAGTCACCTTCTGACCCAGAGAAATCAGAGTCATCGTCTTCTTCATTCCCTACTTCAGTAGATTTGGCGGTAGGAGCTGGCAAATCAAGTGGCTCAAATTGTGCTTCGAATAGTCTGCGGAATACGTCGTGCGCATTGTCCACTGGAGGAGGGCTGTCTTCCTTGGTTTGGGGCTTAGAAACCACAGTGGTTTCTCTTTTTCGTTTCACAATCATGGTGAATGTGCTATCGACTAAATTGTAAAATCGAACACTCGCGTCTCGAACCAAAAGTTTTTCGGACTTAGCTCAAAGTCACGTGCGATAAGATACGCCGCCCCTCGATTTACACATCCATCACTGAATCAACTTGTTCTCCAATTAGCCAGAAAAAATGACTAAATTCAGACCGTGCATTGACCTGCATTCGGGGCAGGTCAAGCAGATTGTGGGTGGTACACTCAGCCAGGTGGCCGCAGACCTGAAGACCAATTACGTATCCAAGTTTCCGGCCAGCCACTATGCGGGATTGTATCAGAAGCACGATTTGCGCGGCGGGCACGTCGTGAAGCTTGGACCTGGGAATGAAGAAGCAGCCCAAGAGGCATTGCAGACATGGCCGGGTGGGCTGCAAGTGGCCGGTGGTATCACCGATAAGAATGCGCAGTATTGGATCGATCAGGGTGCGGACAAGGTAAGCCCCCGGATTCCAGACGGATTACTATTTCTTCGCTTGAATTATGCTTGGTTGAGAACTCAATGATATATATGCTTTTATTTTTTCCTATTTGCTTGCGCTTCGTCATAGTAAGAGTCCAATGACGCTAACCATGTGGAATGCGGGCAATAGGTTATCATCACTTCATTCCTCTTCCCTGGGGGCAAGTTCTCGCTCGAGCGGCTGGAATCGGTTCTTTCTGCTCTGGGCGGCGACAAGTCAAAGCTGGTCCTGGACCTGAGCTGCCGCAGAAAAGACGATACTTGGTTCGTTGCGATGGACCGCTGGCAAACCATCACAGAGATGGAGATCAACCAGGGTATGTCCTACCTGTACTGAACCTAGGCTGGTTCTTAGCCCACTGACATTATGTAGAATCGATCTCAATGTTGGAACCATATTGCGCCGAGTTCCTAATCCACGCTGCAGACGTAGAGGGCCTGCAACAAGGCGTCGATGAAGAACTTGTTTCAAGATTGGCTGAATGGTGTACTATCCCCGTGACCTACGCAGGAGGTGCACGCCATTTACAAGATCTCGAAAAGGTCCACACTAGTAGCAAGGGAAGAGTGGATTTGACGATTGGCAGCGCGCTAGATATCTTTGGCGGCTCTGGAGTGACGTTCGATGAATGTATCGAATGGAACAAAACGCATTAAAATAGAACATAAATCAAAATGAATAGATCAAAAATATTATGATGACCCAAATAGTATTCCTATATCTATTTCATCAAAGTCGTGACAACAAACAGCAAGGAGGAGTACGAGTCACAGTTGTGTCTGGACTTGTCCCAAAGGGGCTTAGGGGCTTTTATCAACTGAAGGTCCGCCCGCCTCCGTCTTCAACCTCAACTCTCTGTGTACTAGCCGAGCTGCGACCACTTCTTTCTCCGACACAGTACCTATCCCGCTCTTTTTGAAACACTCCTTACCTAGCATCAAACTGCCAACATGAAGCCCGTCGTCTCTGCCTTGAACGCCTGGTCTTGGTACGCTCCCCATCCCAATATCCATTGAAACGTGCTATCGCTTTAACACCTCGCTTCTCGCACAGTGTCATTATCTCCGCTTTCGCAATCATCATCCTCTCAGTCCTCGGCTCGCTATACAGCGTACGTCTGCCCGACTCTCACTTACCAAGACCCACGAAGACCCATTGTCCCGGACATACGTAATATGGGGATCAGCCGCTAACGCGAAGTTCCTAACTATAGAGCAACAACCACGCATACACCGGATCGGAAGGCGAACCTGAAGATGGCCCCGCAGTCGCCGCCTCTATTTATATCGCTGTGATGGTCTATGCTGTACGTCACTCCCCAAGCCCTAGGCTCCAAGCTCCGACGGGATCGTATGTTGCATGAGAAATGAATCGGTTACTGACAATGCGCCTCTTTGGCTTACAGGGCTTCTTCGTTTTCTGCGGTCTCCAGGCTTACCTTCACATGCGAGACAGTAGGGGAGGCGCTATATCACTGCATTAAAATTACCTTGGTTACTTTACATTCGATGTCTTCCTAACACGTTTATCTGTCAATTTTCAATCTTTGAGCTTATATCTCGGGATTTTGAGTACAATACGGTGGCTTAAATTTTATGCGTTGGGCGTGATGAGACCGAGAGATACCTTAATTCTCTCGAGTATGAATCACTCATGTTCACTCTGTGCGACCCAGATTCGTCTATGTTACAGACGAGCAGGATCAGACTAAACTTGAAAGGCGTTGGCGGGCAGGTTTCCCGGTCTCCTTTGCTAGAATACACAGATAGCCGACCTGCGACTTGTACATAGAGCGCTCATAATTATTTCCAGCTCTTTGATATCTCATTTTTTTTCGCCCATTAGACGGACGCATCTAAAGATAAATTTTGGTATAGACATTCAATCATTTGTCCTTCGTTGAGAAATCAAGTTTTTGTGAGACCGCCAACGCCAGTGAATGCATAATCAGATGCCGAGGCTCAGCTGGACACCTGATTTCTTTTTCGTTTTCTTTCTCGTTTTGTTTCCCTCCAGGTTATTACTCCTCATCCTCCCATGGATCCAACATCTTGGACATGTAAGGACCATCAAGATAGTACCCGAGACGAGCATAGTAGCTACGCACGCCCACACCGGAGATGACGCTGATCTTGCGACTACCGTGCTCCTCGCGCGCAATACGCTCCGCCTCCTCCATCAACAAAGTTCCAAATCCACGGTGCTGGAACTTGCGGGCATCACGTCCGTGAAGCGGCACAGCCGAACCATAGACGTGAAGCTCGCGGACAATACTCGTCTGCTGGCCAGTGAACTCAGGACGGAAGGTGTGCGTCTCACTGCACTTGCGCAGACGAAGCAATCCAATAAGAATATCCTGCTTCGGGTCTTCGTATGCAAGGAAAGTCTCCCATCCGCCATTGGCGGTGTAGTCACGGCGGATCAACTCAATCTGTGATGGACGGATCTTGTTCTTGACTTCGTTGATACCGACTTCTCGCGTGCGGACATCGCGGCAGGTCGTGCCAAAGTCCTTCATACGCGCCAATGCCAGTTCACGCAAGTTGCCGTTCTCCACGCCGGAGGTAACAAGTGGCATGGGGATATCGCGCTGGACTCGGTAGATACGGGTCCATGGGGGAACTAGGGCGAGAATTCGTGCAACAAGGTCAATGAGTGCGTTGGGTGTGTAGTTCTTGTAACGGCCGGTACGCCACAGTTCGTAGAGGCCGGTGCCGCGGATGACAAGAGTGGGATAGAGTTTGAGACCGTCGGTACGGAAGTTGGGGTTCTCGAAGTACTCCTGGAATTGGAACAGATCGCGCTCCATCCCAACGTTCGGCAGGTCGGGCATCATGTGACTGACAACCTTGAACCCGGCATCTTTGGCAAGCTTGAACGTTTCAGCTACTGCTGCTACGGTGTGGCCGCGATTGGTGTCTCGCGCAACGTCCTCGTACAGACTCTGTACACCAACCTCCAACCGCGTGCAACCGTAGCGGAGCATGCTGCTCAGATGTGTATCCAGACAGTAATCTGGCCGAGTTTCGATTGTGATACCCACACACTTCACGTTGCTCATTTCGCCTGCTAGCACGGCCTCGTCAACATTGTCCGTTTGATATCCGCTCAGCGCGTTGTGAAGCTGGGAGATGAAGGTGTCCCGGTAATCTTCGGGCAGCGACATGAAGGTTCCGCCCATAATAATGTATTCCACCTTGTCCACACTGTGACCGAGAGCTTTGATTTGGTCTACACGTCCTCGTGCCTGCTCGAACGGATCATAACGAGCGCGGATCGCTCGCATCGAGGTCGGTTCATATCCAGTATATGACTGAGTAGAGTATTCGAAGTCGGAGTCTGGGCCACCAGGGCAGTAGACACATATGTTACCGGTATACGCGATGTGGGGGCATCGATGAGGTTTGCACATAACCGCCACCACGGCGATACCAGAGGAGGTTCCTATGGACGAGGTTAGCGATAGTCCAGCACCCTCACCTGGAAAATGTAAACGTACGGATTGGCTTTGCGATCAACTTTGGTAAGATATATTTCTTGTAGTGCTCAGGCACTGCCGCGATAATGGCCGTCAGTGGCGGCGAGCTGGACAAGCTGTGCTTCTTCGAAAAAGTAGCCCGCAACTTGTTGAGATTGAGATCCTTCTTGGGCTTGGTAGAGTCTCGGTTTGACTCATAATCTTGAATCAGAGCATTTGCAATGTCGGAACAAGCTCGCATGAATCGCTCGTTCTCAGGTACGTTCTTTGCGTTCTTCTTGGCGGCTCTCTTGATTTCCTGCGAGGTCATAGTCATGGTAGCCATGGCGAAGAGAATAATACCGCGCCTAGGCGGGAAATCTTTCAATAACCAAAAAGCACAAGTTGGTTATACTTAGTGGGGGTGAGGTTGATTAGATCGAAAAATGTGGTCACCGAGGTCTGCGCCCGAAGTCTGATCCGCTTAAGTAAAATAAATTATGCCGAGCGAAAACTCCCGGGTGTGTATCCCGAACACCTTGCCCTTTATCCCCATACTTTTCTTTCTTCCAACTTACTTCTTATACCTCACCTCTCCTTTCATACATACAATCTTGCAGAAATGCAGGCCTTCCGCCGTAACACCCTCTCGGCCCTTCGAAATGTCGGTGCCACCCAGCGTCGGACTCAGGCCACCTCTGCCTATAGCGAGACCTTGAACAACCTTAAGATCAACAAGGACACACGTGTTCTGTTCCAGGGCTTCACTGGAAAGCAGGGAACGTGAGTGGAATTTCCGCGCTCTCATTATCACACAAGCATAATACTGACATTTGAGCTTGACATAGCTTCCACGCAGAGCAGGCAATCGCCTACGGTAAACATTCATCCAACCGCGATCGCATCCAAACAATAGCTTACACAGGACAGGCACAAATGTCGTCGGTGGTACCAACCCCAAGAAGGCTGGCAGCATGCACCTTGACCGTCCCGTTTTCGCCAACGTTAGCGATGCCATGAAGGAGACAGGTGCCACAGCCTCAGCTATCTTCGTTCCGTATGATCACACCTATGCTCTCCAAATATCAGGAAAACAATGCTAACTACAATTAGTCCCTCTCTTGCTGCTGCTGGTATTGAGGAGGCCATCGCCGCTGAAATGGGCCTCGTTGTTTGGTACGTGGCCGACGGAGCTTCCCCTTGTAAACAACTTTATCTGACAGCTTCTCGTTCAACAGCATCACCGAGGGTATCCCTCAGCACGGTACGGATCGATCGAGTACCAATTGAAGCCGCGAACTGATCGATTTATATAGACATGGTCCGCATTACGGACATTCTTAAGACCCAGAACAAGACCCGTCTGATCGGTCCTAACTGCCCTGGTATCATTGCTCCCGTAAGCTACCACTCCAACTTTCTGCAGTCATTCAAGCCTCGCCAATTACTCACGCATCTCGTTCATAGGGTCAATGCAAGATCGGTATCATGCCCGGCTTCATCCACAAGCGCGGTCGTGTCGGCATTGTCTCCCGTTCCGGTACCCTGACCTACGAGGCCGTCAACCAGACCACCCTCGCTGGCCTTGGTCAGTCTCTCGTGGTTGGTATTGGCGGTGACCCCTTCTCCGGCACCAACTTCATTGACTGCCTCAAGGTCTTCCTCGAGGACCCGGAGACCGACGGTATCATCATGATCGGTGAGATTGGTGGTTCCGCTGAGGAGGATGCCGCCGAGTGGTTCAAGGCCAACAACATCCACAACAAGCCTGCTGTCTCTTTCATTGCCGGTATCTCTGCTCCCCCCGGCCGCCGCATGGGTCACGCCGGTGCCATCGTCAGCGGTGGTAAGGGTGGTGCCGATTCCAAGATCGCCGCTCTCACCGATGCTGGTGTCATCGTCGAGCGCAGCCCTGCTTCCCTCGGCAAGACCCTTCTTGCTGAGTTCGTCAAACGCGACCTTGTCTAAGATCGTCGCTCATTTTCATGCATCGCGTGTCTTGTTGTTCTGGTTTTTAAGCCGGGGATCTGAGGTATATGTGCCATTTTATACATGGGGTTTATGGGCTGCTCCTGTATTCTTTTCTCCTTTGCGATAGAGATCCTTGAAGTAATCATGCTCGTGTAATTATTACTGTCTGCTGTTTGTATAGAGTAGATGGTTGAAATAAGTAAATATATGGGAACCATTCTTTTCAAGTCCGTGAAGCAGGCTTCTTGGGCGGTCCCTCCCTCACTATCTACGACTGAATCCTCATACAGACATCCATAGTAAAACAAATGAACTTATAAGCCAGCACGAATTGTACAGAAGAGCAGCCGCCATGCCTCGTCACCGCAGCTAGCTGTCCCAGTTCTCGAATAAAGTGAGATTTGATGTTAGTCCAGTATGAGCCAGGGAAAGGAAGCATCGACTGCAAAACACGCATCCTGTCGCGCACTGACTCGCTGTGCTAAATTATTTCCTAGACAAGTCCCTCGAGACCTTGTCGATGCGGAATAGCACTCACGCACTCGAGCATCCAGATTGATAGCTCAATGTATCTTAGTGACACGAGCTCTAGAGATCAAGGGAAGTATTCATAGCCTTGCACTAAAGTGAACCTAGGGAGACTATATATAACGAAAGAAGCTATTATACCTACAATTGGGGAATTGTATTCTTTAGCTTGTTATCGAGATTATTTGATGGGTACACCTTTTCAATCTTTTCTTGTCCTAGTCGGAGAGGGTGAATATGAAATGACGAAGCAAGAATGATTCAACGCGAAGGCTATTGATATGTTTGAGATTGTATTCCCCGGGGCCAAGGCTGGTGAAGAGAGAACCGAGTCCGGATACTTAAAGGACTTTGATAAAATACATACCATAGCTACTTAATACGGTAATATGTAATACAATACACACCATGTATGATTTGTAGAGAACAACAATTCCCTAAGAAGATTCGAATGTATGAACCGATTTATCAACATGAAGTAAAATAAATATCCAGTGAGGTACCAACTAACCGAGAGAGATAGAGATGTAGACACGAGTCTATTCTACAGCAAAATTCTATGAGAGAAAGGTAAACTGCTTTTCTAACATCGTATTAAGCTTCTCAAATTATACCAAATTCCACATGTGATTGTTTTCCCAAAGAAACCTAGATCATGCTGCTACCCTCTGATACTCAGCCCCGAAGAGGGATTATCAGTTAGCAAGTCCGGAAGACCACTTTCTATTTTAATAGGGGCTACGTCCCAGCGACTTTTTGGCTTCTCGGGGGCCCCATTCTGAAAGGTTGATGGCACACAGAGCTTACCATTCGAAAGACCCGGGGCTGGCGACGAAGAATTGTCATTTGATAATGTCTCACGCAGACATGCAACCGGAACTTTCAATACCACAATACGGCTCTTCGCTTGAGAGCCCTCTTTCTCATCCATCCATCTCTTCAGGGTTATATAAGTTCGGCTTCGGCCAAAATTAGCGCGATATTCTCTGACGAATCTCGATTGGTTCCAGTTTTCGTGTAAATGAGCTTTCATCCACGCAGCAGCCACCGATCTCTCTTGATGGTCGGACTTGTGATCGGACCTTCGCGGCCTTTTCCGTGCTTCCGATATATTGATCGATTGTCGCCGTTTATATGCACGGGGACGTGGATTCTCATTCTCAAAGAGCGTATTGCATCCGTCCCGCGGGGGACATTTCGGGTGTGATATGCGCATATCCAGCTCGGAATCCTTTTGCGAGGACCTAGGGTCCATCGGAACGGCAATTTCAGAGATTGACGATAGATCCTTCAAGTGCATGGGGCTCACTGAGACGGCTTTTTCAACGCCTTCTGGCAGAGAAACATGAGATGTTGACATAACAGCTTCATCTTCTCCTGTTCGAGACATCGAAGACGAAGTTCTCGAGGGCAAAGAATTTAATGGAACAGCTATGTCACCATCTAGTGCGGCCTTGCCTCCATTATTAGAGTCATTTTTCGTCTGTTGACCGGAACTGTCGTCTTTTGTCCCATTTTCCTCCTCGGGGCCTTTGTTCTCTAGGACCTTGTACTCTGACATTTCGTCCCCTGTCTCATCCTCACTCGAGTCTTCAGATGAACTGTCGAAACTCATGTCGCTATGGCCTTCGGAAGTCATTTCCGATCCGCTTGACCCATTCAGCGGGCATGATTGTGCCGAACTTGATGCACGGAGTCTCTCTGGAGAAAAGGCGGCCTCAGGCTCATGCGGTGTCAAATACTGTGCCTGGTCACTTGTTGGGGTGGGATAAATCGTGGTAGAATCTAGGAAGGACCGAAGCTCGCTCAGGCGTATCTTCAGTTTTTGTTTAAACTTTTTTAGACCTCTCCTATCTGTTACAGTCAGATTGCTGCTTGCGTCAAGTGTATGAGTAGGTGGGAGTACTAACATTTTGAATCGTCCTTTTGTTCACCGGTGATATTATTTAATATTCTCAAAGTGATCTCCATCTCTCTTAGCACATCTGCGCGGCTTGGTCTCGGACTGGAAATTTGGAGGGCATGGCTTCGGCAAAACTCGACTCTGTCGTGTAATTGATGATCGAATTCAAGTACTTTCCCCTGAATGGAGCAGTGGTAGCATCCATCATTTTGTTTCTGGAAATCGCCGTGACGAACAATGTCCAACCAACCAATAGATGGGCTATCTGCGTCTTTATTCCAGGATGAGGGATCACAGCCCATATTTATGGTCAGGGACCTTTCCAAATCGTAACTCTGTAGCGGCTGTTTCGAGAAATGCTGTGTGAAGGTCTGAGCTGTCTGGAGGACCTCTTCATAAGACCGAATGAAGTCTCGGCGATATGACTGGAGGTCTTCGAATCGTCGTATTGGGATGTATCTCCGCGACCCCCAGCTAATGAAATACTGAGAGCTATCCATGTTGTTCGTCTCAGGCCCTTTTTGAGGTCAGTTCAACTCCTCATACTCGGTGTCTTCTCTCTCATACAATACAGTAATTTGTTTCCTCTGTTGCTCATAGGGGTTTCGAGGGCTCTGATATTGAAATATGACTTTTCCTCAAAACAGTTTCAAAGCGGATATCTGGGGTAAAGAAAATAACGCAAAGGAGAAGGGAAAGTGTTAAATAATAAATTTTGGGTTTTCTCGTATAGCGTGTACGGCGCCGCACTGTTATCGGCACCCTTATACCCTGGTCACTCTGGTAGAGCCTGCATTTCAACAGACACACTAGAGAATCGAAATATCGAGTACGGACATACGACGCCCCGCACTTGTGTGATTGGGTTCAAACATCCTGTTGCGGTGTGCCCACCATTACATCCTTGTCATACAGGGGTCAGTTTCCTGGTCCGCACAGGGGTCGGTTTTCAGGTCTGCACTGGGGTCGGTTTTCAGGTCTGCACTGGGGTCGGTTTTCAGGTCTGCACTGGGGTCGGTTTTCAGGTCTGCACTGGGGTCGGTTTCCTGGTCCGCACCAGGGTCAGTGTCTAGATCGCAGTTTTGGGGGCTATCTACATTTAGGGGGCCGGGAGCCAATCTCTGCTCCTCCGTATATGCCCCTCGTTCCGTACAAATCCAGGCCAGCGATGTTCTCTGAATTTCTTCTTGAGCACAAGTCTTGACACAGTTTTCCTGACAGAAGTGTGTGTATTCCGTCCTCCGTACGGAGTACGGCTTTGCACTTTTCGCCTCTTGGCTAGCTTCATTGGTGTTGTTATCATCTAGATTCTGTACTACCCTATGGTTCAAAATAGCCGTGTTTGACGCAATTATTGTGCCTTACCAACCGTCAGATGTAGCTAATAGTGGAACTTTTTACGTTCAGCTTCATTAACATATCGCAACGGAGGTTGCATGATAGACAGAGATACTACAACATAGGCTCCAAGCGTGGTATATTCTACAGCAGTTGTAGGTCTCTTAGTTGGGACTTCCGGGTGACTCGTGGTTTTATTAGCGCAGTTTTTTCTTTGCACCATGTACTTGGCTAATACTTATACTAATTTATTGTACATCCAAGGCTTTTTATTAGCAGCGCAGCTGATGCTTTCCCTTTCGGTTTATTAATTTCTCCCTTTTGTTGACTTTTGTTGACTTTCGTTGACTTTCGATGATCATCTTGGGAAACAGAAAATTTTTTTCTAAAAGGTAGAAGAATCGTACTTTTACTTGGAAAAATACGAAGCTGTCACTTCACAGGAATTTGGCGGTTTGATAATGTATGGTACCATTCAGTGGTATGAACATGTAAATGACAGTACTGAGAATTTCAATCTTGGAACGGACATGCTGACAAATTGTAATGTATCGGGACCTCACCTGCCCGGGGTTGATGAGTGAGCAGAGTGAGTCAAGAGACGAGTGAGTCACCTAAGATAGTAGTATAAAAACTTTTGAAGGGATTCGAATTCACCACTAATAAACATCAATTCGGCAATTGGAGTCCTAAACAAAATGAAATCATTGGAATTTACCCTTCCCACGGCTTTGATACTGATAGACAACCAATCAGGCTTCTGCGATCCAAAGACAATATCTCATTGGGGGGGCACACGATCCAACCCGAGCTATGAAACCAATCTCCAAGCACTTCTCTCTGCATTTCGAGCTGCGAGATCTTCATCTTCCACGCTGCTGGAGGTAATCCATGTTTTTCACTCCTCTACAACTCCGGAGTCTCCGTTCCACCCTTCCAACCCCGAACAGGGTATGCGTCCCCTGGACTTCGCTACCCCTGCCTCAGATGGGTCGGAGCCGGTCTTTTGGAAAAGTGTCAATTCTTCTTTTATTGGGACTGGACTTGAGGCGCATTTGCGTGAAAAGGGGTTCCGTCAGCTTATCATTGCTGGGTTGACGACTGATCATTGTGTTTCAACTACTGTTCGAATGGCGGCTAATCTGGGGGTTGTGGATCGGTATCTTGGAGATGGACCTGTCCGGTTGAGATCGGATGGGACTCATGAGAATGACGTGAAAGTTGACAAGGGGCGTATTGTCCTTGTCGAGGATGCCACGGCTACCTTTGGGAAGGCTGGAATTGATTCGGAGACTATTCAGAAGGTTTCTGTTGCTAGCCTCGATGGCGAGTTTGCGGATGTATTTTCTACAGAGGAGGTTATTAAGGCTCTGAGCAAGATCCAAAGCTAGCGTGATAGTGCTGAATTCAGTGAGACTACTACATCTCTTCCACCCAGCCCCAACTATGTTCGGCCTACTCCGTAAATTTCAATTATTTAGTCTTCTTCTCACTTCAGGCTCTATTTCCTGGATGTCTACAATGTCTACAAGTCAGACTACAGAGACCTGGACCGACGGATTGTCTCTCTCATCCCGTGTACATTTGTGCATCCGAACAAAAAATATACAAAAAATATATCAAACAAAACTGTGTGGCGGGTTGCCACTACATATAAACATAGTTGCCTTTGTCGTGGACAAGGATAGACCAGGTCCCAGGGCGCCTCTGGGTCCCAGCCCCCTCGCCTTTAGACTCGGATCAACTCTTGTAACTCCCCCAAACCCCTCATCTTCTCATCCAACCGCCTCGTCCCTCTACTCCTCCTCGAATTCCCACTCACAGTCACTGAGGTCGTGGCTCACCTCAGTGCTGTCACCCTCCGCGTCTGATTTCCCCCCCATGTCACTCAGACACTCATCCTCGCTCTCCTCCCTAAATCGGAGCTCCCACTTCTCCCACTCATCCCACTCATCCTCTTCATCGTCCTCGATAGTTGGAAGAGGGATGGGTTTGGAGGTGTCCCCATCAGTGAGGGGCCATGCCCATTGGAGAAGGCCATCCATTTTTTCGGCGTAGTCCTCCGCGTCGAAGTTGAGTGCTGGGGTATAGGCCACTTTGAGTCGGCCATTGTCGAAATACCCATGCAAAACTCGAACTCGAGCATCGGGGAGAAATGAGATGACCATTGTCTACATAGATGTCAGTCAGTCATGCATTGCCTATCATTTGATGGAGCGTCTAGACTCACCGGGAAGTCAAGTTGGGGCCGCTCATGTCGGTGGTACTTGCCGATTTGGTGCTTGTGGTTCTGGATTCCACTAAGCATCCATCGAACCAGTATTATGAGCTCTCCAACTGAGGGGAAAGTGGCATGATAGCATTCTTCGCTTGTCATGACGGCGAGTTGATGAGCGCCCTTTCCATCAGCATTTACGGCTCCCCTTTGTACGGTGAAGCCATACTTGTCGTTGCTGTTGAAGAGACTTTTGTCTTCTTCCATGCTATATTCGTCAACGGTTAGTTTCAAGCTGCTTTCTATCTATTATTGGGGATGTAGACTCACGGGATCAGGTCCCAGTAAATGGGGGTGTTGCTGCCCCTCTGAGATTTGCGGAGGTACTTCGAAAATGCCTTGTAGAGTTGATAGTGCATCTCTTGGGGGACGAAGTCTTGATTTGTCTTCATCGCCCGAACCCACGTGAACGGGTCGTCCACGGGGTCCTCGGGGTCGAGTGCACTATTGGCGATTTTGAAGGTGGTGTCGGTGTCGGGTGTGAAGAATTGGATGAGGGAACGATCGGTATTCCCCGTCCAGAAATCCATCGGGTGGATGTCAATGTTGGAAGCCTGATTTGGGATATAATCAGGCTCCATGTGAAGGAGCTGTTTGTGCAGCTGCCATAGGCTCTTCTTCTTCTCTTTGAAGAGCCAAACCCAGAGAGGAATACGACACATCGTGAAACCACCTGGGGATGAATGATGAAGAAAGAAGAAAAAGAAAAGGAAGTGCAGAGAACGGGGGCCCTTTTATGTTCTCCCTTGGTCAAATCCTGGTCTGCCTCCGACATCCAGGACTATATCAACTATGCCTAAATAAGATACGGCCGGGTTAGACCCATGGGTTCATCGCGTATCTCAACATAGAAAGCTTATTCTTCGGTGCTGGACTGCTTCGGACGCCATGTTGGGTAGCGGATAGCTTCTGCTTAGATGTGTACCAATTCAACAAGATATAGTTTATAAATCGGAACACAGATACCATGGCATAGTAAACCCTATATTCTCCGAATCCCTTTGCAGTATCTAAAGCTACATGACCATTGGTAGATAGTTGGTCAGAGAAAGATCAGAACAAGATGAGGCTTTAGTGAAGTAACGTGTATTTCATAGTAAGAAGGAAGTGAAACTAATTTGAATGCCAAATGCCACGCAAGTAGTTGTGTGATAGAAGCAAGAAAGGAAACAGTTTATCTAGAAATTTGAATATATTGAGGCGTGACGGAAAATCATGCAGCGCGTAATTTTGAACCCTGACTGCTATAGGTCTTCGTACCACAATCTCTTCGGGTGTACTTAAGCGTCCCCGCGGGCTCAGATTCTTCATGGCGTTCAGCACGGGTTCTGGCTTGTCTGGTGTGAACAGCTCAGTATCGGTCGGACCTGGGGCGACGGCGTTGATGGTGATCTCCTTGGGGCCGAGGTCCTTAGCGAGAACGTGAACCCTCTGCTTGACAGGGCCCTTAGAGGTTAAGTAAATGAGATAGGGATGGCCAATTGTGGAAGCGTGACAGAGAGTTGAGGAAAGAAGAAAGATTCGGGCGCTGGGGCGGAGGTGAGGGACTGTCTTCTACAATCATCAACCATCAGTTTGGAGGACGTGGGTGATATGGGTAAACAATCTGAGATCGGATGGCACAATGAAGTTCTCGGTAACATACGCTTTTTGAATGGGCCGGTATCTTCCCAGGCTCGGAGATCTGCGCTTCTAGTGCTTCCTAGTCTAAAATATAAATTGAGACTTGCTAGAATAGCACAATAGACCAATGTTGTATATTAGTGGCTGTGGCTATTCGTGGAGACGTATTGTAGTTAACATATAGCAAGCACTAACAATAGAAGAGTGGCCAGGTTACGTCTCCACGATCCTAAGTGTGATCGACCATAAAGCTACGGAGTAGTGATAGCATCAAAGGGGTCAGGGTCACTAGGGAACATCTACTCGAGCCAGATTATCATCGCCAGTGATGCAGAAAGCGCTCCACATCCTGCATAACTAACTGCAACGGTCTGCGAGACCTCTCCTGGTTCTGGCAGACAGTTCTTTGACGAAGCTGGCTGCGAGATAGGCGCTTGGATAATGTCTGCTGTCTTCCATTCTGGAGGTATCGAATTTGGTGCATTCGACAGTGACTTTCGCGTCCAAGTCGCGATGATATGTTGCCACTCGGGCATAGGAGGCCTCCAAACGTCTAAATTGCGGAAATCAGGGTCTTTAAAGACCAACAAAGCATTATTGACGGAAGCGAATTTCAGCACCCATTCTAGACAATCGGAAGTATAAATTCCCGGCCCCAACTCATTGTCCAAGGAACTATTGTGAATGTCCGGGGTGAAAAAAGCCATCATCGCAGCTAAAGCTGCCCGAGTAGACACTCGGTACAAAAATGAGCCGCCGCCGAGTTTACTTAAATAGTCTTTCCTGATCTTCGTGGCTAGGCGGTCCTTGTTCTTGTCCCCTTTGACTCGAATTGCGGAAATTTCCTGCGGCAGACGTTGGGGTCTGTTGGCAGGAAACAGCTCCTCCAATCTATGATAGGCGTATTGGTATCCAACTTGAGGTGGGATGGGATTAAGCCGGACTGGCATAACAAAAACAGGCGGCTGATTGTATCCAAAGAAATACCGATCGTACATCGATGCTGGAAGTTTGTCCTCTTCGAACAGATGCTCCAAGATCCATCGTACACCGACATTTGTTGGGATGAGTCGCACCTCATCTTCGAGGGCAATCGCTGGGTCGTTAATTGCATCGACCAGCTCATCAAGGCCTGCGAGCCAAAAAATGCTACTCAATGGGCCAATCAGTTCATCAAATCCTAAAGTCAGATCAGTCAAAACATCCTCTAGCTTTCGCCAAAATAGATATAGGTCTGCGTACGATAGCTATTGCTGTCAATGTAGTCTCCGATATCCTCGGGGATCGTTCCCGGGTATCCATGCTCTCTTGACCATACCGGGCGGAATCCTGCTTCCGCCAACTGACTCATTGTCCGAGCGAGTTTATTCCGATTGTCGGAGGCCATATCAGGAGATTTTCCCAGCTTCTCTTGGATAATGGGGGTTGTAAAGGGGGGTGTTCCTGGCACTATGCTGGCGGATGAGGAAGTTGAGTATGTGAGAGATGGGATGGACGAAATCGAAGGTATAGAATCAGTCGGACTGATTGATGTGGCTGGGCTGCTTGCCGAAGCCGGAAACGGAAAGCTTTCCCTTGGGTCCATGACTTGATCAATGAAGTAAATTAGATCGCAAGGAGTTGAATTGGATTGCCCGAATTCCATTCTAATATTCCTGGATATATGTATAGCTTCGCTCTTGCCAAAAGCAATGGCACCTGCCTGTATATCCGCATCTTGGTATTGAGCACAAATATAAGAGCAAGGTCAGGAAACTACATGTGTAGTGTTTTCCTACCGAAAAAGGAGTCGGATCTTAACACCTTAACATGGTACCATGGATTCCCCCGGCTTACACCTGACAGATCGAAGTCTGACCCATACCTCCAGTGTCTATAGACGATGGATGCCCCGACGGGTTATTTTCTAGCTGTAGAAGGGAGTCGATGACCTCGAATCTGCTGTTCTTGCTTCCAGAAGAGAACTTCTGATGAAGGCCTACGAAATTCTAACAGGAAAATAGATTCCACTGGATGGTACTTAATTCTACAAGAATAATACTGAAGTTCCCAATACTATTCAGGCAAAAGGATAGTTAAACGAGGATACGGAGAGGTCCTCATTAGGGTAGTGTGAGACCCCTAGGTATGGAATGCCTAAGGGAATGCTGTATATAATGGAGGATCGGGAAATAGAGATAGTAGTATATGCAGTGGTATATTGGAACTAATAGCTACTTCTCTAAAGAAGTAGTATACGAGGATAATATATAGGTTTGTGGGTCATATGACCTAAGGAGGCTGTGTAGGCAGTATGTATTATACCTGTCTAGTCTATAGTCCCCTATATACCTAAGATGGGTGCTCCACGCCCTATAATAGGGCTTATACCTTAGGTATCAGCCTTCTTAGTACTAGGGTCCTGATAATATCCCCCTCCTTATGGTATACGGTCCCCGTAGGCTCGGAATAGGAGAAGAATAAAGGAGTAGCTTAGTCCATTAAAACCTATATATCTAAAAAACCTTGTAGTAAGGGTAAAAAGGTATATAGGGAAAGGTATCTAGCCTTAATGCTCTAAAAATATAGAAAATGATATAATAGAAGTATAAATAGAGGGTATAGTATATATAATAAGGTCTATATATAGTATAGTTATATAACCGCGCTAAGGAATCAGGTAGCTATGGTTTCTAATGCCTATAAACTTAGGTATCTTATATATATAAGGTATGGCTAAGTAGTTATTTGCTAGTAAGAGAATATAGTTAGGATAAAGGGAGATACTATACCTATATATACCTAGGGTATACCCTAGTATCTTCTTCTCTTCTTTAACCTCTTATCTTACTTAATCTATAAGTATACCTAGTTTATTTTTTTATTAAAATTCTATTAATTTAATAGTGCTTTTATTAGGATAAAACCATTTTAGTTAGGATACTACTATTAGTTAGTAGATATATTTAAATTTAGTAGTATTACGTTCTATATAGTATACTGAGAAATTTTAATGTTATATCTACCCCTTCCTTATAGGAAACGGCCTTATTTTCTAGTTTATATACTAACTATATTTATAGTATAGTAATAGTATATCGTTATCCTATACCGCCCTTCTCTAAGGAGGATAAAACTCTATATCTATAGGTATAGTACTATTATATATTAGGCCGCCGGCCTATAACTCTACTACCTTATCTAGTAACCCCTAAGCCTATTAAGGAACTACTACCTTACTAGCGGTACTTTTTCTAGCTATAAAGCTACCTAAACTATAAGTATAAGACCCTTATAGGTTATACTAAATGTACTTACTATACTTTAGTAAAGTATAGTTATATCCCTATAAGTTAGTTATATTATTTATAGGGAGGAATCTATTATTAATAATAATATAGCTTCCTATTAAGGTTTAGCCTACTACCTATACCGCTCTTAATATATTACCTATATCTACTTATATACCCTAAGTATATATTATTAAGTAGAGTATTAAGCGCTTAACCTATATAGCTAATAAGGCTAAAAAGGCTACTACTATTATAGAAGCTATAGAGGTTATAGTAGTTACTAAAGTTATTATAGCCCTAGAAGTTATAAAAAATATAGAGGATATCTCTAAAGTTAAAGAATTCTTTAATATTCCTACTAATTTAGTAGAGGAAAGTATAGTTCCTAATATAGGTATACCTAATAATACTTTATTTATCCCTATAAACTTAGCCTCTATCTCTTAGGATACCCTGATTATAGAGTCTATTTTACTACTCTATAGTATTTTTAATACTATCCTATTAGTATTTAAGTCTAACTAGGTATATTAACCTTACCTATACCTATATATAAATTCTATTAAGTATAGGGAATATAGTACTAATTTTTAATCTATAATTAAAGCTTCTTATATTTCGAGTATATATTCTTAGTCCTTATCTTCTTTAGTATCTTTATAGCTATATTTAACCTAGCTTTATAGTTATTAAGGGCCTTAGTCTCTTTAACTATAGACTATAATTCCTAGGTTACTTCGATATTATTATAGCTATACTACTTAACTAAGTAGGACTTATTCTTCTTACCTTAATAGGATAGGATATATTTAATCTTATACTCTACTTAATTATTAATTTTAATTAGTTTAGGAGTATTATTATTAGTTAGAGTATTACTATAATATAATTCTAATACTAATATATAGTATATTAGGTATAGTAATCTAAAACGGGGGGATAGATATAGCTTATATACTTATATACCGACCTTCTTAAGAATCGGAAATAGACCTAGTATTTTATAATCTAGTTTCTTACTTAGCCTACCTATTTCTATATTCTTACTCTTAAGATATACCTAATTACTAACCTTAAAGGATTTATCTATATAGTATTTATCTATATAGTACTTTATTAATTCTTTTACCTTAGTAAGTCGCTCTTTTATAAAGCCCCTTATTTCTTAGATTTCCTATACCCTCTGTATAATATCTATATAGTATTCCTTAGGGTACTCTTTAATACTATCTTAGATAGATAGGTTATAACCTATTAATACTTTATATAGTGACTTTCTAGTTATACTATAAGTTATTATATTATATATAAATACTGTAATAGGTAGCTAGTATACCTAGTTATCTTACTCCTAGTTAATATATAACTAAAGGAAATACTCTAGTACCTGATTTTAGCATTTAGTCTAGCCATTAGTTTAGGGATAGAATATAGTAGATAACTGGCACTTAACTGTAAGGAGAAAATAGAAGGTTAACTAGAACTAGCTGGTAAATAGGCTGCCTCTATCGCTTACCAGGTTCTCTGGTATACTAAAGATCGGAATCATATGTTTATATAATAAATCTGCTAACTTAGGTATATCAATTTCTTTCGTATAAGGAAGATAAAGGGTATACTTTATAAACATATCCACTAAGATAAGTAGATATCGGCAAAGCCTACCTGGCCTATAGCCTAGCCCAGCCTAGCCTACTAATAGGCTAGGCTTTAGGCTCACTTCTTCGGCCTATACTAAATTATAGGCCGATACCCTAGGCCTATAGCCTACGACGGGGGGCCTATATAGGCCTTATATAATATAAATAGGCCTCTGGCGTATAGATATATAACTAATGTATTTCTAACCTATATTATTATATATCCTAGTTACAGTAGGAATACTAGGAAAATTTAAAGAAGGTAGTAAAAATTGAGAAGATAGTACTATTAATATATTCTAATAATATATATAATTATTATCGACCCTACTTTTATACTTCCTCTGAGATATATAAAATAAAGTAGTAGACTCTAGTAAATCTAGCTAAAACCCCTCTATCTTACTATTGCTATTACTATCCCTATCCCTACCGGTTAAGGAGGAAGGAGAAGCTTCCTATATTCTATCGCTTTTCCCTCCCTCCTCCTCCTCCTTATTATTACTAATTAGATTATACTTACTATCCTTTAGAAAGTTAGTACTCTTCTCTTTCTTAACCTTAGCCTCTACTAGACTAAGTAACTACTATAATTCCTTTATCTTAGTATCCTTAATACTAAACTTAGTTATATAGTAGTAGAATATAAGCTCCTTAATTATCTTAGACTTTAGGTAACTATAGTAATAATAGTAAATATCCTATATAGTATTAAAGAGTCGCTTAATACTAGCCTTAGTTATTAGTATTAAGAGGATATTATAGGTAAGTTATATAATTGTAGGAAAATGAGTTTTATTTTCCTACTAGAACTATAGAGGCTTAGTATTAATAAGGTCTAAGGTAAAGAGTGGTTAGTATAGTATAGTAAAATAGTAGGGGAGATTAAGGTATTATATATTACTATTAAGGTACTAGGTTACCTTATTAATAGCTAGTCTTATAGACTTCTACCTATTCTTTAGTAGCCTATATAGCCTAGAGCTAGCTAGTATTATAGCTAGTATATTAGCTAACCCCTAGCCTAAAGTAAGGTATTCTTAATAGGGTATTAATATATCCTAGAAGGATTTCTAGTATTTATTATATTACTTAGGCTCCTAGCGGCTATCTAACTAGAAGAATTAGAGTTAACTATTAGGGACTAGTATTATCCTAATAGTAAAGAGGTCTCTTTTATAACCAGTTATTTATATATAGTACTTACTTAGCTTTTTATAGCTAATAATAAGTATACTTAGTATTTCTAATTTCTATAAAGTATACTTCCGTTTTAGTAGTACCTCTACCTAGTTAAAGTAATTAAAGAGGGTATTATAAATCTTAAAGGTAAGGTAGGTAGTTACTTCCTTTATCTTTAAGAGTTCTATTATATAGTTATAGAAAGGCTAGGTAATTTATAGAAGGTAGTTAATTTAATACTATTCTAAATTACTAGGAAGTATCTCCTTATAATTATAATTAATATAGAAAGATATAAAGAATAGATATATTCTTTTTACCTAGCGAAGTATTAAAAAGGTTAAGTTCTACTAGGTTACTATATCCTAGATTAGAATAAGATATAGCCCCTTCTCTTCTTATAGTTAGAGAAAGGTAGCCTAGCGCTTTAGGCTAATATAGATATAGAGGGTAAGATTATAGATCTTTTTTAGTATCTTTAAGATTACTTA